CCCCAAAACCCCAAAACCCCAAAACCCCAAAACCCCGATCAGAAAAGCAGCCATAAAATAAGAGATAAAGAAATCAATTAAGCTCAATCGAATGAGACATGTACATTAATTCAATATATCATAAACTTTAAAATTTATTTTAAGATAAAAGTCTGAAATGAGACTTAAACTCAATGATGTTAGCTACACAGTCTCTGAAATGCCAAGAGACTTTAATGGCAATATTACCCAAGAGGAGGACTTTTATAAGTTGCAAGAAGATACTCTTGCGAATGAATAAGACGAGATGAAAATCTAAGATTTAGACTAAAATATGCATTAAAATGAAATTCAAGAGTAAAGATATCAAATGACTGCAATAAAAAGACCTAAGTCTACTACTCTACAGCCAGGAAGACTTCCATTCAAAGGAACAATCCAAAATTTGAATCTGTTTGATAGGGAGAAATCATTGCAAAAGGGTTAGAAAATGCAGAAGATTAATTCGCAAGTTAGAGACACAGTAGAAAAGGTATAAATTTTGCATATTTTTATTTGATTTATGTTAGATTAAGCTACTTCAAAGCAGAATTAACAATCTCTAAAGACAAGAAGAGAAGTCAACAAAAAGAGTTGGAAAGATGCAAAAAACAAAGTCTCAGATCATGACAAACAGATAGCAGTTTGAAACAGTAAGTATAGATTCACCAAAAACTTTGAGCTAATTATTGAACTTCATTTTAATAGGTTAAAGATTAAAAGTATGAGAAGCAGCTTAAGAGGCAGCAAGAATTGGAAGAAATGAAGAATAAAATAGCTAGCATGAAGAAGAATAACGATGAAATTAGGAATAAAATTAGAAATGATCAAATGAGAAAGCAGTAAAGTCAGAGGGAAAAATCTAAGATAGCATGCTAATAGATTAAAGATCAACTAAATTAATCATCTGTTGAAAGAATGGAAAGAAACAAGTCTTTGTCCACAAAAGTGCGAGATTAGAAGAAACTGGCTTTAGAAAGAAGAAAAAGCTAAGAGAAGGAATTCATAGAGCATATCTAGTATCAATATCACAAAGATAGAAAGCAAAAATTAAATGAGATATGGCAGCGTGAAGAATAGATCAAGAAGCTCGAAGAGAAAGAGAAAATCTTGATAGATCAGCTATAGCATACAATAATGAGAGAGTAGATGGAAGCTCTAGAGTTGAGGTAGTCCATTGATTCAGGAGTGAGAAAAGATATAAATGAATCCTTCAACTCCCCTATTAAGTAATAAAGAACTGGAAGTGATGTATTGTTGGAAGTGTATCAAACTCCCAGAACCACAAGACACCTGCTTGAACAGCAGATGTAGTCTAGCAACTCAAAATCACTATTCGCTCTAAATACCCTCTCAGAAAACAAGATAAGCAACATTAAAGCCTTTTCATCCTCTAATAATAAAAATTAAGCAAATAAAAGAGGCTCAGTTACAGCAAGATCAAATAATAATTAGTTAGGAGAGAATTCATAAAAATCAAATCAAAGTGTGAGTAATGGACAAAATATCAAGGGTTAAGTTAATTCAATTATGCAGAACCATGAAGCATTAAAGCAAAATAAAAATAATGATAGAGCAAATAGCAGTGGCAAGAATAAAGATAAAACAAATTAAATCAGAATAGGATTAGCCTCAAGAATGACCTACTAGAATATTTAACCTATAATGCAATAGTAGAAAATTGCAGCATAAGCTTCATTGCTTCAAAAATCAGCTTAGTCATAAAAACAAATATTGAGTTATCAAATCCAAGATGTCACTTAAGAGAATCTACAGAAATTAAATGAAGTTAATAAGAATGAAGGTGATTTGTCAGCAGAAAGAAATTTAAATGATGGCTAAAGATAAAATCCCAGATAAACTAAGGATGGCTCAGGCAATAGAGAATTCTCATTCTCTAGGAACCAGGCCTAGGCAATTATCAGTGGCAAAGAATAAATGCCTACGAATCAAGCTAGGATAACTCAAGCCCTCTACAGATAACAGCAATTGAAAATTCAGAACTAAATGAGCTAGAGTATGATCGTCCCTACTATCTAAAACGTCAACACTAATAATATCATAAACAACTCTCAAATTTATAACTAAGTCCAAGATAACAGTAATAGTACCATCAGTCTTAATTAATCTGTTCATTTATAGAGTAGCTATCTTGATTAATAGTAGCCCAAATAGTAATAAGTCATAAAAAAGTAACTATGAATTAATCTAATATTTAATAAATGAATTGCAATATTAATTTTGAGCTTATTCTGCCGTCTAGAAGAGATGATGCAGGGCATAACTCATAAAGCTTAAGGTAGAACATTAATAATATATATTCTACAATTATAGAGTCCATAATATGCAATATAATAGCCGTATCCGCGAGAGTTTGCCTAATGGTTTTCTATAGAGGGTAACTTATCCTGAGTAACCCTATTTTTAGCCTTAGGCCCTCGGTTCCAATTTTAATCAAGTATATTAGGAAACTAACTGCAACTAGTTGAATTTTATTGATCCAAATAGAAGGCTTCCTTTATTTTGCGTAGACACATAATAATAGTTATCCTAAATGACAACTTACCCCATGTTTATACCAAATACCTCTACCACAGGGTAGTAACTCGTACAGTATTAGTAAAGCCCCCATTTCTAGATAAATCCTGCCCATAAACAGGCAGAGCTAAACTTTCCAACCAACTAATTAATCCCTCCTACGCATGAAAACTAGTCTATTACTTTATAAAATAATTTAAAAGCCTTAGATACCCCAAAACGATAAGACCGATAATAAACTACATAGATTCTCTTTGATCATCTGATCATAAAAACCAATGGGGATATCAAGTAGTCTAGATAATAGACCATAGATAGTATAATATCAGAATGCAGATTACTAGAATTAATGATGGCTGTCGAACAAATTGAAGATGACAACTATGTAATAATACCAGGTCAAATTAGATTTAAATCACAGACAGTAAGAGGATCAAAGTTTAGAGGCGTCTCAAAAAACGGAAACAAGTGGCAGGTGCTTGTGATGGGAAATTAGAAGAAGCAATATTCAGGCTCGATTAAGGACGAGACAATTGCTGCCAAGATGTATGATAAGTTTGCCATTAAGAATCTCGGATTACGAGCCAAAACAAACTTTGACTATAAAAGGAGGGACATTCAGAAAATTATCTAGGAAATTCAGGAAGACTCTCAAAAAAATTAATAGTGACTTATGTTAGTATTAAACTAGTGTCTTATAAGTTAAGAATGGTCATTTGAATATTTTAGCATTGACTAAACATTCTTTCTAAGGATTTATAACAAACTTTGACGATGTTATTATTTATTTAATCATTTACATAGAAATCTCTAGTTATACTAATAAATTTTATTGAGAAAAATAATGATATTAAGTTAGTGAGTCACTTTATTCAAACTATCCTCAATTTCTACACTGCAATATTGAGCATCGTGGGGTTTTGGGGTTTTGGGGAGATCGGAAGAGCACACGTC